ACCCTCCCTCGCCCAAAGCAAGGGGGGCCAGGATAGGAATCAGAGTCCATCTGCAGGGGAGGAGGAATCCCCAACAGGAAGTGGAGTGCCTCAGGGGGCAGTACTTGACGAACTCTTATTTATTTGTTTATTTCTTTATAGTCAAATTTATACCCCGCCCTCCCCGCAGAGCAGGCTCAGGGCGGCTTCCAACAACAAACATAACAATGCAGAATAAAAACATAAACAATGCAGGATTAAAACACAGCATTTAAAATAGCACATTACAAAATTACAGAATACTGGCGGCAGTTAAAAATCAAACGAAGAAAGTGCTTCCCAGCAAAGTGCTCCGGTGTTATTCCACGTAAAGTGTTTAGATGTTATTCTGCTCGTTCTTGGGGCAGCTGCTCGATGTTAACATCACGGGCCGTGCACCAGGGCGGCGGCCCCTAATTGTATGCCTGGTGGAAGAGCTCCGTCTCGCAGGCCCTGCAGAACTGCGAGAGGTCCTGCAGGGCCCTGATCTCCTCCGGGAGCTCGTTCCACCAGGTAGGGGCCACCACCGAAAAGGCAGCTAGCCTGGCCTCCCTCGGGCCAGGGAGGGTCAACCGGTTTTGAGGTTGGGCGATTCCTGAAGTTTTTGCGAGTACCACCTTTTCGGAATCACCAGGTGGCTCGGGAATAATAACATTTTAAGTGTAGCTTTAAGAACACGGGAGTGTTCTTTCCCGATTGCCTTGGGACAGCACCGCCCGCTTTCAGGTACACCTTTGAGACCAGGAGGGGCCAGGTTTTCCTCGTGGAGGAAGCCTGCCCCAAAGAGCTCGTTAAAGCTTTCCCACACGAGAGGCCAAAGAGGGAAGGGAAGTACAGGAAGGGGAGAGCGCCTGCCAGTAGGGGAGGAACAGAAGCAAACGCAGTTGCCCCATTAGACTCTTAAAATTATTATTATTAATTTTGGCTTGTATCCTGCCTTCCCCGCAAGCGGGCAGAGTGGATAACATCAGTAAAAGCTAAAACATTCCACACTAGAAGTTAAAACATGGTTGCCAGTGGAGCGCCAGATCAGATTCAAGGTTTCGGTGCTCACCTTTAAAGCCCTTAACGGTCAGGGGACCTAAGTACCTCCGGGACCGCCTCTCCCAATATGTCCCCTGAAGGGCATTGAGATCAGCAGGTAAGAATCTCTTGATGATTCCCGGCCCCAAAGATATCCGGCTGGCCTCGACCAGGGCCAGGGCTTTCTCAGCCTTGGCCCCAGCCTGGTGGGACTCTCTGCCGGACGACACCCGTGCCCGGAGGCCAGCAACAATTTCTCTACATCTGCCTGGCACCCTCCCCTCCCAATCATGAAAATCATGGAAATCTGAATGCTAATCATGCCATCTTGTTGAAGCATTTAAATACTTATGCTGAATGTTTTAGTATGGAATTTTTGTCGTTTTAACTCGTTTTGAAATTTGTATTGGATTTTATGGGGGGGACTTCATTTGGATTGAGGGTGAAGACTGAAGGGCTAAGTCGGAGGTATCTCAGAGGAGACCGGATTGGCAAAGGGGTTTGAGGGGAAGACGTCTTTCCTTTATAACTCTCAGACACAATGCCTTCCAACCTTCACGGAGGTATAAAAGCAGTCCAGAGATGCTTGAAACTGGGCCAACTTCTGGGATCCACCCTTAACCATTTGCCTTGCAAACCATACCCGACGGCTGCTTTATCTCAAGCTCACTCTCTGCTGCCTTGTTCTCTGTAAGTCTGGGCCTGGCATCTGGTATTTACTCTTTGACATGTGTTACGGAAGGAAGGAACGAACGAGCGGGGAAGGCGCCTTTCCTTGCTGGGAAACTCCCTTAGAGAAAGGGTTCCCTGGAAAGCACCCTAGTGACCAGCTGCCACCACTCAGGGACCTCCTGAGAACATCTAGATTGACTCGTTGAGAAGATACGCTTCCAGTGCAGTACTAGACAAATAGTGAAGTAACAGGGCAGAAACCCTGGAAAATGCCTTATAACAAACTATGTGACAGCCGTGCGATCTAGCGTGTAGGG